CTAAGCTGGGTTCTGTCGCTATGGCCGAAATGGAAGATGAAATTGTAGAGCTGATATCAATTTGACAGAGGAAGGGAGGAATAAACCAAGGATTTCCCAAAAAAAATTCAGATGGGGGCTTTTGGACCTGTATCTGCATTAGATCCTTCCTGAAGCATCAAAATGAAACAGCTGAATGAGATTTTTAAGTTCCCTCTAGAAATGTGACCCAGAGCAATGAGATCTTAGAGACCTAGCAGTACCAGCTCTGGAAATCATGTATTTAAACAAGTAGTACAATCTGTTTTTTAAACTGTTGTTCATAAATCATTGTTCTTCACTTTTTAAAAACTAGTTGTTCTAGATTTTCCGGGGCTGTATGGCCGTGGCCTTGGCATTGTAGGACCTGACGTTTCGCCAGTAGCTGTGACTGGCATTCTCAGAGGTATAACACAGAAAGATGGAGCACTCTCTTTGTCAAGGGTTTTTTTCCTTCTCACCTTGACACAGAGAGTACTCCATCTTTCTGTGTTATACCTCTGAGGATAGTTACAAGAATGGGCACAGTAATAAGACCAATGAAAAAAGAAAAAAGAACTGTGACAATTTAGCGCTTGGTACTATATTCATAAATCATAATATACAATAACAGAAAATAAGTAATATATATATGAATGTCTATATTCCGGTGGTCTCCGGAATGGTGTGCCATTTCGACAATGATCTTCTTCTGAACAAGGATGTGTACATAAATTGTCTTTCAACAATTCAATTTTTCTTGGTGACGTATTGAAAATATACTGTTGATTCACTTCATCATAAAGCTATGCTTACAGCTATGTTCTTCAATGGGCTATAATTGCCTCCACCCTCTACATTCACTATATATATTACTTATTTTCTGTTATTGTATATTATGATTTATGAATATAGTACCAAGCACTAAATTGTCACATACCTCTGAGGATGCCAGTCACAGCTACTGGCAAAACATCAGGTCCTAAAATGCCAAGACCATGGCCATACAGCCCGGGAAATCTACAACAACTCATGAACTCCGGCTGTAAAAGCCTTCAATAACAT